AACAAATTATTCAAATTTTACATAATATAGTCTTTTATTTACTGAAAATTATTTTTTTGTAGATCATCATTTATACTCCTTTTAGTATAACTTACCCGTTTTAATAATAATTAACTTATTCAAGAAAAATAATATGTATATAAGACATTAAAAACAAAAATAGTAAAAAAAAAAAATCAATAAATAATACAATGTAATATATATTTACTTATTCCTGAGCTTCCCCTAAAACATAATCAACTTCAGCTGCTCTAAGTAATCATGTCTCTTCTACCAATACTTTAAAATTTTCGTCAGACAATCGTAATAAAGCATTGGTAGTAATATTTTGAACAGTAAGAAGGTTATGAGTACCCCGGGTATGATACAATTGATATACGCGTGAAGCTGCTTTCCATATATAACGATAAGCACTAATAGAAAAATTAATTCGAATAAACGTTCTAGTAGCTGAACTCCAAAATTAAGCTTCCAACCATTCTCCCAAAAGATAATAACATTGAAGAAGGGAGACCTGATCAAGACGATTTTGACGCATCTTATCCCTAATATATATGACCTGATCTTCCCAGGTTTCTCCATATACTTCTTCGAGAGACCTGGTAGGAATATCAATTTTTTTTAAGTCATTTAAATACAATGACATCCGGGCTTGTTCTAATGAAATGGTGGTAATCTCTTGAGAGAATTCAAAGAGAACAGGTTCACCTTCATGATTATAACATATAATCGTATCATTCGTAATTCTTATTTCAGTTACTAAGGTGTCTTTTATTTGTTTGCGAAGTTGAAAAATGGTTTTAATAAATTTTGATGTAACTAAGAAAAATGACATTGTGTTGAATTTTTTTTTATTATTAAATAATAAGTTTTTTAATCCGAAGACTGCAATTTAACAAAGGAAAATTTGATGCCTCTTATAACTTTGAGTTATGAGGCTTTAGTTGACGATATTATCTTTTCACAGCTAAAAACCAAACCCTTTATTTCTTAATCAGAATATTAACAAAAAATGAGGCTTTTAATCTTAAAGATAAATGCTTATTATTGTATTTTATTTTAGAATAGTATAGCCTCTACCAAAGAGCATTAGTTCGGGTGGCTTAATTTAAAGTAAACAATAATTAATTTGGCCAAAGATTCTTTTTAAACCT